ATTGCGTAATCAACTTATAACAACATTGTGAGAATGATGTAAAAAAGCAAACCTTTTTGTTTATACTATAAAAATGCACACAAACAAGCACACGGCCCGTCTAATGGTAAATGGTTACCATCACTTGTGGTCGCCTGAGATACCAGGGACGACAAGAGCGCGTTGCCGACCTTTAAGAAATCAAAATTTAATATTGTATGAAAAATATAACTACAATATACATTTATAACTTCACATCGAAAACGAAACATAAAAAAGAAAAGAAAAATGTTCACAATCAATTTTCCTCTGAAACTTATTATCTAAATGAAGAGTTATAACCAAGCCTATTCTCGCTCTTTTATCGATACCACATTACATTTTTGTGTAAGTGATGAGTTTGTATCAATATATGGGATCTGCAATAATACAAAAAAGGACACAAATTTAATTAAATATTTCGAATTTTTTACGTTTTATCAGATTAGTATCCAAGCTTTAAATATATTCGTTCATATCTATATTAATACTAGCTGTCCCGGCATACATTATTTTGCCATATAAATTAATAACAGTATAAAAAATAGGGGTTGGTGATAGAAGGGAGAAAATTTAGCGTTATGTATTTTTTAATGACACATAATAAAAAATTTTGCCCAAAAAAAAATGTTAAGGGTGTCCCTTATCACTTAGGAGTATGAAAAATAGATAGTAGCCGATTCTCAGACTTACAGAATATGCATATAAAATTTCATAAAAATCGGTCAATCCGTTTCAAAGGAGTATGGTAACTAACATTTATATATAAGATTACATGAAACTTGAAATTATTTATTCTTCATTCAAGTAAATAAACTCAATATTAAGCATTTTTGAACAGCAATAATAATTTACCAATTTATTTCTATTCTATCACTAAATTTGCAACCATGAAATGCTAAACCTTTGTGACTAAAGGGTTTTGTGGAATTACTTTCAGGGGAAACCGCATTACCATACAACCTCTAGTTATGTGTTATTATATGGGATCCTTTAAGCCACAAAGCTGACGTTAACATGAGACCACCATAATATACTATGCCACTTCCTCCTTATAATATTATCATTAAACACGCGCCAGAACGGCAAGAATAAAACATGCTGTTGAAATTGTTTTGGTATTCTTTGTGTCTAATATTTTTTGAAATAATGTTTTGTTGCATAGGTAGCTAGTATAAGTGGTGATTAATGCAAATTAATTAAGTATTTTCTTTCTCGGCTCGTCGATTTCGGATATTCCTAATTTGGCCTCTTCATAGAATATCAACTTAAAGCTGATGTAAAATTCAAAATCTTGAGGCGTAAAAGTGGAAAGATCATTTGAAACTCATTAGTATGCGTTTTTATGAAAAGGGCAATCTAAGAGAGCAATGAAAAGGAAAAGTCTGAATAGGCGTTACACTTACGAGCGCAAAAAGAAAACAATGTAAAGAGGCCATTAACAAGAACTCTTTTTTTTCTAACACTAACAATAAACTAACTGTTTGTTTGTATTCGTATGAATGAGGGTCAGCCTGTATACAATAGAATAGAAAATTCTTTATTAAAATAAACTTAAATTTAAGAACTTTTGAATAGTCATATTTTTTCTTTTATTCGTGAGGATCAGGAGAGTATTCCCATTCAAGGTTATATAATATAAAAGTAGGGACTATGTGGTTCTTGAAATTCGAAAATTATTTATTTATTTATTATAATAATTTATTCCTTTCAATTGAATGGAATTTGAGATAATGTTTGATACAAATGAAGTGTTTTTAACGTAAATTGAAATGATATACAAGCTGACGTCCCATTTGATTATAAGTGGCAAAAATTGCCTATGCACATAAATAAGTACATCACGTTATCTGGTGCTACTTGTGATGCCCCACATGCATGGCAATGCCGGAAGATTAAGATGTTATGGCTTTTTAACCTGTATTACTTAAATAAACTTTCGATCAAAACACTATTTAAACAGCAAACTGCTTAGAGGCTTGGTTATATGATTTATCAATCAGGGGATATCTGCGTTTTTTTACAAATTCTATCTCGTAAGTTATTATAGTTTTGCATTACCATTTTGCATCTTCTTATTGAATATACTGAAAAACTCAACTTCTTTTTATTCTTCCATTGTATGTTTTCCGTCAATCAATCCCGACATTTATTATTCATGCCCAACTACCGTAACATACTCGTTCTCATTTTTCATACCACATTGCTCCGACTATATGGGAAACGTAATCCTATTTTTGCAGATTATTTATAAGGTCTCAGTGTAAGCGCGATCCGATGTGCACGTATTATAATTATTTTATTTAATATCGTAATTGCTCAGCGCGGCATAAGCCATGCTAGTCGAAGTTCCAGCCATGTGTGACAAACTTGTGGCCAAAAACGGTCTTGCGTTTCCTGCAGCAGAAGCTGGACTAATGGACGATTTATATATGCATTACAGATCTGTGTGTCCAACTTCAGCCAACGACATCGCGAGAGCGAATAATTTGCTCTTCGAGTCCCTAAATAAGACTGATCAGATGGTGTGGAATTACGTGACGGGACACAAAAAAGCGTACAGGACATTATAACGCTGCTGAAGGAGACCGATCCAACGACGTGCCGACTTTTGTGGCGAAGGATTTCATTAAACAAACTTCCTCCAGTCACATTTGATCACGTCGATGGCCTTCAAGGATTCGTGTCCAATATTTTTTGAAAAAAGTTTTGTTAGATGTGACGCTACGTTTTAATGCGTCAGAGCATATAATTAGTGAGTTGCGCAAGGAAGTCTGCGCGACTCGCGAAAAGAAACTTCATTTGACGCTACGAACATCAACAGCTGATGTAAAATTCGTGGGGCATGCCGCGATGCGTTCACTCGGAGTCAGCGGTTTCGGCGTCGACACTGACGTCACCAGAGTGGTGAACCGCCGGCCGCCGCGCCCCCCGTTACCCGCCCGCAGCTCGCAAAAAGATACCGCTGCATGTGGAAGCAGCGCTAACAAAATCCTCGGTGCAACCACCGCGTCGAGATTTTGCCGCCGTCGTCGATAGAAACCCGGCTGATTCAGTACAGCGGCGTGTGCCAAAAGGTTATATAATATGAACATTGACCCTACGTGTTCTGCCACTGGGAACCGCGACGATGATATAATAATTTCGTCGTTACAAAAGAAGAGATAATGTTTGATACAAATGAAGTGTTAATAAATTGTGGCAATGCACTACAACTGGGCTCATTTTTCTGCTGCAAAAATTGCTATGCACATAAATAAGTACATCACGACAATGTATCTGTCCCGCTACTTGTACGCCACTAAGGAGCAGGACATTGTTATTTTTTAACCTGTAACTTAAATAAACTTTCGACATTGAGGGTGACTATTTAAGTTCACAACGCTTCAAAGCGTTTGTTTCTCCATCAGGGGATTGCTGCCCACCTTCATGAAAGAGGACTACTGGCCGAAAGTTATGGTGTATTTGCATTACCATTTTGCAGATTTTTTATTGAATGATCACACAAAACTATATTCTTATTGGTTTTTAAATCAATTATATTATATGTATGTTAGTCTATAAGGTATTTATAATATGGGCCTAGTTGCCTGAAATAAATGAATAAATAAATAAAAATAAATAAGTGATTAATAATTACAGTCATATAAAATGAAATATATATAAAGCGACAGTCATTATTCTTTTGATTCAGTCATATTATTACGTAGTAAATGTGTGAAAGGTGAATTAAACTCGCTATGTTTTCTTAAGAGCCTATTCTGCTTCTTTTGTTAAGTGCCATCTGAATTGAGCCATGAATACTAATACCGAGTGGCTTATGGTAGAATTTTGTTAATCTTCTGTGGGTAAATTTAATTCATTAAGTGCGTAAAACTCTCCCCCTGAACCCATTTTGTTCTTTAATACATTTAAATGGCAGTGTTACTATAATAGTTCACATCTTTAATGTGTTCTTTGTGTATTTTATTTCACATATCTGATGTTATAGATATTGTTTTAGTTTGCTATAAAATCATGTATTTCAGAAGTTAGTTGGAGGTTTATTAATACAATATTTACTGATGTAGATTTTGCACAAAACGTGGGTGGGCCTGTAGCATCGGCTATTAGGCTAATCCGGCAACGCTGCATAGGTATCTGCATCATCTATTACAGCCACCTAGCAGCTTAGTAAAATTTGTTTCAGTTGAAGGGTGAAATAAGACGAAATTACAGGATAAAAGGCATGACATCTTAGTCCTCTGAATAAATGACAAAGCATGAGTGGTATGACGGGCGTTACATTTTACCACGGGGTGGTCCGTTATTTGCCTTTTCAATTATATAACGAATATCTATAAATTAATGGAATAGATGAACTATATATAGACACATATACATAAATTGATGTTACATTTACATATATGTATATTGGTTTTGATATTAACTTTAAATCACTATCTCCCAAAATTCAGAAATTGACCATCGATGCGGCATGACAGCGTCATTGATACAGTAGTAAATTCATAAAAATTATTATATATTTTAGGTACCAAACATAAATGACTCAAAATGGCGTTAGTATTTTATTTTTACGTTTTACGTTTTAGTTACGATTTTTATGGAACTTAAGATTGGAATTGTATTGCGTTGTAGAAGTTTTATAAGAACAAATCTTTATTTACCATATTATTCAAAAATACCTATAAATAAACAACACATAAAACTTGTAGAATCTGAACTAGATCTAAACCTAAACCATTTATCTCTAGACTATCTCCATAATCTTATAGTACAATATTTCAAGCCTTTCATAATAATTATAAACATGTATTTTGGTGAATTATGTTAAGCAAGTAAATTTTGTACATTTTAATGCCTATCAATATTATCAAACATTTTATTTACCCGTTAAGTGCTGATGATTTGATGACAATTCAAAAGATCTCTCTGTTTGTTTCAGAAAATGAAGACTAGAACCAGTCGTCGAGCGTAGTCTCATGATATCATCACCTGATCAAGAGCTAATAGATAATATTGTAAAATGGAACGATTCCAGCATAGACACAGACGTACTTATAGAAAACACAAAAGAAAAATACAATATTTCACAGAACATTTACCACATAGTAACAAGAGTAGATGACAATCAAGTGCCAAATGTGAAGACGTTGTGTAATAATTTTAATATAAGTAATAATAATTTAACACAACTCAATGAAGTATGTGAAGTTGAAAGTGTATATGATATATTTGAAGTGTTTGTAGTTATAATACTGTTTGTATTAATCGTAGTGACTGTTATTGGTAATACATTGATAATTTCAGCAGTGGTTACCACTAAACGCTTGAGGACAGTAACTAACTGTTTTGTGACAAGTTTGGCTGTTGCTGATTTGCTTGTTGGCATATTTGTAATGCCACCAGCAATTGCTGTTCATATTACTGGTATGTTATTTATTGTAATTTTTTATGTAATTAGAATAATGAACAAGCCGACAATAAACCTGATGATGCAATGAACATCCCATTATCATATGACTCTCGTGACACCACTCCTGCGTTACCGCATTTCTGATGATGAAGTTATCATGCCTCTTATCCTGTAATTCTACTGATATATCTCATGTTTAAACCGAAATACATCTTATAAAACTAGCTACTTGGCGGCTGAAATACTTGGTACTGAGACACCCATGGAGGCAACTGTATACTATCTTGATAAGTTATGATAACAATGCTTTATATAATGCAAACTTCATATAAATAGAGGCAGAGTTCTTAAGAGAAACTTGAAGCCCAACCAGAAATTTTTCTCCTTGGCCCTTGACATTCGCATGAATATGCGATATATCATAGAACTATTACGGTCCAAACAAACTGTAACTTTCATTATATATCTACCAAAGTTGAATATTGAGTCTATAATAAACAAAATATCTGATAATGTTAAAAACTTGAAAAGAAATATTATTTTCTTTCAAAGTAATTGAGGTTAGTTCATAAAAAAACGGGCTATGTTATGAAACACCAGATAATAACGTTCAAGGTCAAAAGGACTGTAAGAACAAAGACTAATGTAAAATCCTAATTAAAGTGGCAACTTATTCTCTGTTCGTCATATTTTAACTTACCAATGTAATATTACTAACATTACTAACATACAAGCTGATACTAAGCAATGGGTTAAATTGCCCTGCATGTAGCGAAATTGGCACCAATTTCTGACAGCTACGATATGGCTTTTTATTTTAGTGACGTGTGTAGGCCGTTTTACGAAACATACCTATCCGCTCACCTTAGTATTTATTCTGGTGTATCCTTGGTCTTTTGTAATCATTCTTGATAAAAATCAGATTGCTAAAAGGTGGTATGGTTTTCTAAGTATGATAAATGATATCTTCATAACAACTGTAAAGAAATGATTCTATTTTTAACTTTTATTATATTTATTAGTCCTAAAAAAATTGTGGAAATAAGTGTGCTAATTATATGTAAATAACTAATACTTTATAGCTACTTCATCCATACCATCTTTAATTGTGAACTCACTACTATATCTTGTGTTTGTCTACGATATGGTATATTTATAGATAAGATTGAAATAAAAACCTCCATCTTTTGTAAAGTTCTAGTTGAAGGTTTTGAAAGAAAAAATATAAAGTTAAAATAATCTGATACCTAAGGGTCGGTAAAGTGAGAACAGCGCATTATCCTCTTGGGAATTGCAGTTCACCGTTAAAGTAATGAGAGCCATCTAATTTTTACAAGCCTCCAAACCTCCCCTCTGACGCAGGAGGCTTAATGTTTCTAACAAAATAGTTAATTCTCGCGGTTTCACTCGTTTGGACTTATCGTCTGTCTTACTGAATATAGTTATTGTAAAAGCAATCTTCATATTAAAAACTTTAAGTTTCTTTAGTGAGTACTACTGTGAAATGCAGATTGGGTAGGCAGAGGCAATTACTGTGCGGTAAACACAAAATATGACAAGATATCACATATTTAGTATAATACAGTATTAACACAAAAGTATTAAATTTTTTTTAATTAGACTATAAATTTCACTTTTCGAGTGGATTTTCCAAGTTTTTTGTTATTCTACAATAGTGTGTGTGATATAGATATACGCATATATATTTCGCTGGGTATATTTGAATTGAACTTGACAGAAGGTGATCCTTCCACTTTAACCACTTATTATCTATGTGTTCATTAAACATAGTTATACACACATGCGCAGAAAGAAGGTGCTACCAGGAAACAAACCTGCATCGAGTTAGCTCTCCAATTCATGTCATTAATGAACCTTCTCATTTCCTTTATTTTAAAAATTAAAAATTCACTCGCAAATGTTGTTTTGTATAAATTAAAATAGCTATTAAAATAGAGGTGATGGTAGAAGGGTGAAAAATTTGGGGTTATAATACTACATTTATAATACTGCATTATAAAAAAATTTAAATACAAAATTTTGTCGAAAAAAGTTAAAAAGTTTTTTTGGGTTAAGCCACCCTTAATTCTTTGGGATACAAAAATTAGTTATAAAACTATTCTCAAACCTACTGAAAATACATATAAAATTCCAATAAAATTAGTCAAGCTATGAGTATAAACATGAAATCTGTGATACGAATATTTTATATATAGAAATTATATAGATTAATTTACTGATCAAACATCGATCACAAGACACTTTTATTGTAATAATCAATTTTAAACTTTGATTTAGCTTTATTGATAAAATTGATTTTTTTTTGGGTTTTCGGCCAGCGACTTCAATAATTAAATAAACAAACTACTCAAAAATATAACACGTAACTATAATTACACTTAAGTAAGTCCATAAATTCCAACCGACCTATTATATTAAACGTTTCTTATATAAACCGTTTTCTCTGTTTTCAGGAGATAGAAAATCGTTTAGTGTCCGATTAAGGCTGATATATTATTATTATATACAGTAACTACCTAACATAAATTCTCAAAAGGCCAAGTATCTATCGGATTGTTTTAGTTGAAACATAAAAGATTTTTATTCATTTCATGATGTTAAAATATTTGCTAAAATCCAGATATTATCATAAAACGGATTACAAAAATAGTGATACTATATTTCTCATATAAAATTGAAATACTACTACTACTATCATGAGCCCCATGTGATGGTAACTAATAATTGTCACCAATATAACTAACAACAACATGGATGTAACGAAATATATAACATTATGATGGCTGATATAGAACTATACTAACTGACTCAACCGGGGTAGTATCGCACAGTTTCATTATCATCTGTTGCTAGTGATTTTAAGATAGCGGCAACACACTAACGAAAGAATTAGATGAGATAGAGGTATCCACAAGAAAGACCCTCTCTGATAAATACTATTCGGTCTATAGCTCATGTACCCAATCAAATTGACCTACTCGTCATATGCGGTCATTCTTGCTCATCCGTTGTATTTAATTTAGTAATGAATTCGATGGGGCTATTGACCTGATTTTAGTCTAAGTTTCATTAGCGTAGACTGGATTATTCCAAAGGCAAACGCCATTCAATACATTTATTAGGCAAACTATAAAACACATTTAACTTGATCCTTTTTCATACCTTTTCTAAGATTGATTATAATCTTGACTAGCTCCTGACCTTGAATACAACTGTGGATGTCGATAATATATCTATAGTAAGTTAGGTACTTGTAGTGTAATACCTCCTATAGGGTACTTAAGTGGATAGTAACTACTTAGAACTTATCGACGTCACATACTGTTATAAACTCTCCAATGAGATCGTATGACACAAATATTATATAGAGTGATTGAATAAGGACTCTCTAGAAATAGCTTGTTATATAATAAACAAAAAAATGTAAAAGAAAAACATACGTATTACAGGCTTAATACTTGCACTTAACTCAAAAATTACAAAGTATTGGAATTAGACTTCAATTTAGAAAGATGAGAGGAGTTTTTCCAAAGCTTGTAATTTTTCACTTAATACAGATATATTAATGATGCGATATGTAATATGAAAAGTAGTACCTATGTGTTAGATAAGGAAATAAATTCTAAGTTCATTCAGAGTCAGACCTTGCATATAGAAATAGTGCTCAATTGAGATCTCTTTTCAAAACTTATTCATCACTATTATATTATAAATATTTAATCGAAATATATTCGGAACATAAATGACTGTAAATGAATTTTATTTTGTGAATAAAAGCATTCAATAAATATTTTATTCCAAGGTACTGAATAGGTACAGTTATATTTAAAACGACTCAAAGCCTTTACAAAAACGTTTTAGTAATGATTTGCCTGTACATTGAAATAAATTTACCTATACATAGATTCCCCTGATATAAAGTAATCAATGTGACATATTATGTCCAGAAATTATTACAATTACTATTTCTATATAATATTAATAAAAATTCCAATATGTACTGTTTTATGTTTTGTCTTATTTTGCAATTCTAATATAATTTAAAATGTGATAACTTATTATAAGTTTATGGATTTAATCTCATATATGAATCAATTGCCATAATTTTTATTAAACTGTTTTACAGTATACATAATAATATATTTATCCAATGATAATTAAAAATTAATTACTTTAAAAATTTTGGTTATGTATTTGTAACTCTTTAATTATTTTCTATAATAAGTTGCAATAGGCCTATGTAATAATTATTAAAAATATATAACGAAAAGTTTAGAAAATGTTTTTGGCAATCAAAAACTAATATACTTAATATATTTTTTTAAGTATAATACATATTTTTAAAGCATAGAATAGAAAGATAAATGTTGTACGTTATCGTAGTTGAATGGTATCTACCGAAATTCTTTCAACAAATCCTAAGATTAATAAAGACCCTTCAACGTCGTAAAGAGATAAAATAAACCCTAATAAATATTCATCAAGACAGAACTACCATCAATTAAATAAACACCTTTTAAGTAAATACAAGAATAAAAGAAGTTAATTATTCCAAGAGGCTTTCGAGCCGCCATCAATCATTTAAAGACCCTTTTTGCTGAGCGATTGTGGTTTTGATAGAATTTATTTGTGCTAGTTATTTGAAGCGCTATGAAACCTTTTGTAGGGCAATGTGAATAACAGCAACGTAAAAAAAAATATTGTAGTGTTTTACTGACTAGACTAGATTCTTAGATGAGATAAAACTGACAAGTTTTAATAACCTAGTTATGACAGCATATAAAAAAGAGAGGGTTCCGTAAATAATGTTCTATAAAAACTAAGCCCATTCTACACTATTATTTTATATACCAAATTAATGAAGAAAATTAACACAATTGTGCACTGGCATCAATTGATGATGCTTTATGTATAATAATATCACAGATAAGACGACATTATATTATAATATTATATAAGTTGTCATCACAACACGAAGATATACCCCGAAGGTATATATTCAGTAAATAGTGTACTGTTTTATAGTTTTTACATGTTTTTGCAGTAGATATAACAATGTAGATACATAAATGGGATATTTAAAACACGCCTTAGTTAGGGATCGACTGGAGATGACTGTGGATATAAATAATTATTAAGAGCAGACAAATCTGTCCACTCGCCTTTTTCATTGTCACGATTCACTACTACTGGAAATCATTATTAAACACTCACACTGTATCGCTTCGACTTTTTGAAGCATATTAATAGCTTAAAATTTGTTTTTAAGTATACCTAACATAGTGTTATATAATAGGTACAAATAATATGGTATGCTAGCCTTTAGATAACAGATATTATACCAATTTTTTGCAATATATATTATTTTTCTGTTGATCAATTGAATTCGGAACATAATACATACATTTTAGAACTCTTTGGCTTCAGAAATGTGTTACGTAATACACAATGAAAATACGTCCCTATAACGGGCGATCCCCTTCATAGTAAATTTCTTATTACATTTTTGTGTGTCAGCCCAAATTAATTCTCAGAAAGGCATGAAATGTCTTTGGCCCTGAAGAAATTAATGTATAAACGAGTAAAAAGATGGTACAGAAAATGTACATAATTAAAACTAGCCTAAATATTAATTTAATTTTTAATGAAAATGATCGACCCTATATAAACAATTTATTACACAGAACATTGTGAGGGTTAATAAGTCACTTGACGAACATCGGCCTTATATCGAGGTAGACATTGCATAAATACATACATAATATACATAGAAAACAGCCAGACGGATACAAACAAATATACTCATGAAAACAAATTTGCACCGTATGAGGATCGAATCCGCAACCAACTTTACGGAAGTAACGTGTTGTGGTAAACTGCTAGACCACAGAAGTTGTCAATATGACGTGATGACCGTAGTCCTATTTATACATATACATATATGTAACTTTTAAATTTACCATCACATAAGCATAAATAATATCTTTACCTGAAAAAGTATAAATAATGATAGATATGTCAGCTAATTCTCCATGATACTATGAAGATGTAACTACAATAATTCGCAGTAAAATCCCACCGTATTCTATATCGTCAAAGTGTGGGATATAACGATTAGTTTGGTTCTTTGAAATACAAATAATATGACGTTATTAGAACCATTTTATTGTCTGAAACTTATAACGTTCATAATAATTTTAATGAAAGTTATAATTTAAAAAGTGACTTCTAATAGCGCCAGTTCCGCAGCTATTAATTGTCCCTCGAAACAGTTGAAATATAAGCCAAAGTAAGACCTAAAGCCTTTATAAACCTTTGCGAAATTAGCTTTGAACTGAAAGTGCCTTTTCAACTAGAACTTTTGTAAACCATGTTTTTTCTTTGCTTTTTGAAATACTATTCTACTTACTTTGTTAATTTTATTAGCCCTTTTCGTTTAATGTTTTTATTTAGTTCTGAATGCTCTTTTTACTTGCTTTCCGGGATTTCTTAATAAATTGTGAAAACGTATTGTTGATTCTCTCTTTAATAGAACTATTATATTCAATATAAATTGATTAGTGGATAAGTCTATAAATATCTGCAACAAGTATGTACTTGTAATTTCGTTTTTTATTTTAATTATATATCTGTATAAATTATCTGTTGATATTTTGTTATTAAAATGTTTTGAATAAATCGAAAAGTATATAATAATAATATATATAAGTAACTACTTGACTATTTTTGTTAAATGGGTGTCAGAGACATTATAAACTTTACACTTAATATGCCACTTTTCGATGGGTATATGATTTATTATTCCGTCACCGAACAGGGAGAGAGTAATATAAAATAGTACACATTATATAATAATAAATACTCAGGATAATGCACACAACGTCATTTAGTCCCAAACTAAACAGAACTCGTATTATGGAGACTACACAACTGTACAAAAAACCATGTATTTGTATACATCGTTTTTTTATGTCAATACATACATAATGTACATAAAAAATACCCAGACCAGTAACTGCAGAAAAGCAGTGTGCTAAACAGCTGGACCACCGAGGGCGTCAACCTTATTTTATGACTGCGGATTCGATTAGTCGATATTTTTTTTGTTAATTTTTGGTCTCCAGAAATGAACCACTATACTATAACGCTCTCAAAAAATATATATATAATTTATTTTTTATTTTCAGGTAAATGGGAGCTCGGCTGGATACTATGTGACATTTGGATAAGTTTAGACATCCTACTGTGTACAGCGTCTATTTTATCTTTATGCGCCATCAGCGTGGACCGATATTTGGCAGTTACTAGACCACTGACGTATTCAAGAAGAAGAAGGTCCAAGAAGTTGGCTTTGACCATGATATTCTTTGTATGGATCGCAGCTGGTGCTATCACGTGTCCTCCCATGTTTGGATGGTAAGTAAATACTAGCGCTCATTTTAGACTTTTGCTTGTATATTTCATTGCTCTACCCATTGTTACTCTCATCAATCCCCTGAAAGCTGTATTTCATTCTATAAGATAAGGAATTAAATCTAAATAATTTTACTAAATAAGGTTTAAGTTTGGTTACCGGGTATTAAGGAATCTTTGAACTCAGGAATGATAAAGTAGAAAATATACAGCAGACATCATGTCATCTAACGGTTCATGTACATAGCAACGGTTTATATAGAAAAATGTACTGAATGTATATAACTGTAACTGTAATATGTATTAGAAAACGTGTTGAAAAAGTATTATTTTTTTAATTTATTAATAAATAAAATACTGTTCTACATAGTCTACAATATAATGTTATTGATATCGTCCCGTTACTAATTACATTATTTAATAGATATAGACAAATTGAATCCAATATTATTATATATTAAATTCTTCAGTTGTAACATAATTAAATCTTATAAATAGTTATCTATACTGAAAATGTACTAGAAAATAAACAAGAAGAAAAAATATTTGAAATACTAGATAAAGCAGTCACCACATTTATAAATATATATTATAAAGTTTAACCATTAATTTATATATGAATGAAAAAATATCTTGTTACGAATGTAAAAAAAATATTGCTATTATTATGTCTTGCCAATAACCTTTCATTCATTCCTTATAAAGCCTTAAAGAATATTGTAATATAAAAATAACATTAACATAATAAGATTTCTTTACACGTCAATGCCAGCCTACCATAACTTCTAAGGGATCTTCCCGGGTAAATAATATGACCCTGCGAATTACAAGCAAAAGTTTTGTGTTTATCATCTTTGTTATACGACATTGTTCGTCTTGCAACAAACTTTGTTACTTCATTTTGTTCCTCTATTCATATTATTTATACTTTGTGTATTCGGAGGAAACGTCAGTGGAAAAGTAAAGTCTTCAATTATAATAACGAAGAAATTTAACCTTGTGGGGATAGAAAAGTAGGTAATTTTAAATAAAAATTAGAAACACAAAAAATGTCAAGTTGTCACTGTTTTTTAAGTAAGTGTAATAGCTGTCATCTATTATATTACATGAACAGCACCTTAAATATAATTTTTCATGTGTTGACATTTCAAAGGACTAGGATACAATGCCTACGTAATATGAATGTCTGAAATAAAACACTACAGTATTTAAACTTCAAGTTAAGTACGGCATTGCATGACGTTTAAAAGCAGAGGTAAATGTTATAAATTCTACAACAAATAAAAATTAAGTAATACTTTAATTGCTATTATACTAACCTCATCTACAATTCTTAAGCTTTTTTCCTGTGATAAATTGGCTCGGAGACATTAAAATTGTAAGCGCTGTAATGATTACATATTTCACCCTCAAAGTGACAATTTCAGGGTAATTGGGCTTTCCTGCTAATGTAGCTAAACGCTTTGCCAATAGCACAGAGGATTTTCACAACGTTAAAATATAATTTTTTAGTCGAAAAAGAGCAAATGTTCCATTTATACTGATTGTTTTGCCCTCTTATAATAATACTATAGAACTTTTATTTTTTATACCTGTATTAAAAGAACAAACACAATAAAAGTGTACTTGCTTATCGCACTAAACATAATCAGAGGAACTGCTTCATCGTTTCATTTCAGTTTCCAATAAATAGTACATCCAGCTGTATAGATGTGGTGCTGTTTGTTCAATTCATTCAACTCTCTGACGAGCTGTCGAAGCTCTTTGCTTTTCTCATTGAAGCTCTTTGCTCATTTCCATATTAATCCTTTAGTGAAGTACAACGTAACTTGATTAAGGCTTTGTAATTTGTATACTTGCATGAATATAGAACAGTAGCCGATGCACTACAGCTAACAATTTCAGATAAGAATATTTCTTCATTGATACTTTTTCAGGCGTCATTTCATACCCGAGTTTTAATTATATATCTTATTTTAAAAGCAAGTGAAATTTTCTGTATTATCTCTGATAGATTTTTTTTGTTTTGATATGAGGAAGTCGTTATGTTTTAATGCAATTGTTTGAATATCTCAGTTATTTAGAATAAGACAAATAACACTATAATGATGAATCCAATTCATCATTATAGTGTTATTTGTCTTAAGTCTCTAAGTCGGTTCAGTAGTAATGCTTAATGCCTATTGTAATTGTTACTTATTTGACGACCAATCAATGTATTGTTTGCAAAATTCGTAATGAATGGAGGGTCAGTCACTATGTTCCGCTTTTGGAATTAGGTTTCAATGTTTGCATGAACAAAACAAGTTTCAATTATGTTCATCCTCTAATGATCTTTATGTATCAATTTTATGTGTATCTATATATTATGTGTAACTAGCTGTCTCGGCAAATGTTGTTTTGCCATATATTAAAAAATAGGGATTGGTGGTAGAAGGGTGAAAATTTAAGGCTACTTATTTTTAATGCCACATTATAAAAAAATTGTCTAAAATGAAAAAAAAAGATTTGTACTGTACCGCCATTAACTCTTAGGGGTATATATAGTCATAATACTATTCTCAGACTTACTGAATATACATATACAATTTCATCAAAATCGGTCAAGCCGTTTCGGGGGAGTATAAACAGGAAACCTGTGACACGAGAATATTATATATATTAAGATAAGATTAAAATCAGAGGTGAAGTGCAAAATGTCGTCTATTTGGATACCTCAGTCTGACCTATTTCAGCCGCCAAGCAGATTTTTTTAAGAGCTTTGTAATTTATGTTTGTAATGTGTGTGTGTGCAGACTAAACAGTGAAATTACAGGATAATAGGCATCTTCGTCCATTGAAATGGCAACAAATGAGTGACATCGCGGTTGTTACGTGAGAACGTGATGTCTGTAGTACCTACTGTACAGTATCCCTTACCACCAGGTGTGAAAATTGTCTGTGCTATCAGCTTGTTTGTCACTCCAATTATATTAAAAAGAATAACAATCCAGACATATACATATACTCGTAAATGTGGTAAAAAATAATTAATTAATTTGTTGAGGAAATTCTTTTCACAATAATATAAAAGGATGCTACCAAATGACTTCATGCTATAGGCCTTAGTGGTAGTTTAGTATATATATATATATATATATTATAAGAGTAGAGGAAAGTTATGTCTTGTTAGTATATATGCTAAGCCATGTTTTAGGAAAACACAGATAATTTGGTAGCATCCTTCATTGTATTAAATTTTTAATCGAAATATGAAGCAAAATATAAATAGATATTATTATATCACTGTCCATTCTTTGATATAATAAACTACCTAAAATTCTATTACAATTCCTGTATTTATTTTTCTAACTGATTGGACTGATTCGGTACTGCACTGTCAACCAATCAATGGTTAGTTTAAGTGGACTGGTTCCACTTTTTACGGATTGCACAGACATTTATAAAACTATTCAGTCTTAATCTAGTTATCTATAAGTACTATTATATCTATAGTACTTATAGATAAATGGGCTTTCAGAAAAGATAATACGATCCTAAATCTAGATTTACAGTAATCCAGGATTTTCTATAAGTCGAAACTAAATAACTATGATCAGTAAAGACTGGAAGTTTGTATATAAAAAAATACAGACTGTATACGTGATGTGGTTGATATAATAGGTGCATTATATTTAGGAACTTTTGAAAATTATTCATGTAAAGCCACATACTTGTCTTGGAACAAGTGGTTCAGATTGAACTCCGGTATATCAATTACTTTTATAATGTGATTTTATATATACACAGTTCTTTTGTTTGTTTTATATTATGTCGCTATATCCAGCAGTTTTTTTGTTGTGATTAGATTTTTTTATTTGTTCTTACAGATAGGCATGATAATAGCCTGTAATTTTCCTCAACCACTGGGCTATAAAAATATAAAAGAGTTGAAATTCAACTGGTAGTTTCAGATTAGTAGGCAAGAAAATAAGCGTTTCAGATTTCTATAATTAGTATATAGTATTAGATAGTTAATAAAAAACTAACCATCGATCTATTAGTAGTATACTAATTATATGTATTCATAATTCTGGGAAACTTAATATTTGAAATTTTAGTAAAATTGAAATATGACCTGCTAGTTACGCAACCGCCGCGCCGTAAGCGGGTAGTAATGTTTTTTTAATTGTTTAACTCTTTTGTTTTTCGTACATTTTAGTATCATTAATACCCTACTCTCTGCATCTTATATTATAGTAAAGATGGGGCTTTAATAATCGGATATATGGTCGGTTTTGCTTATTCTTTTTTTTAGAATTCTAATTTTTTTAGGTATGAACCCGACCATAACCAAGGAGGTGTATGCCGCTACAACCAGAACCCCGGTTACGTTGTCTTCTCAGCTATGGGCTCTTTCTTTCTTCCAATGGCTGTGATGGTGTACGTATATGCAAGGATATCCTGCGTAGTGGCCAGGAGACATCAACAATTGGCTAGTACTAGCACCAAATGTAGCAAAGTGAGTATTAAATTTATGTGCTGTATTATTTATACAATCTTATCGACATTTAACTATGATATAGAAATCTTGATGTTCTTAATAATTTCTTTTTTAAACTAACATTATAAAAACAACGAAATTGAATTGGAGATAGTCGGTGTATATTTCAATATAGTGATTATAGAACTAGTAGTAACAAAACTAGGTATGAGTTTTAACAGAAACATTTATAGATCATGTACATAATGTTCTAAATATTATGCTATTGTAAATGATGAAATAAAATTATAATTCTCATTTGCGATGAATTAAAAATAAAATATATCACGAAAGGGCTAACATTAGTATAAACCACCATCAAACAAACAAAATTAGTTTGCATAACATCCCTTGTAAGATCCCGCGAGGACATCGTTTCTCTTGTTAGTATTTAATAAAATAAATGAGTAAGAAATGTTCTAACGTGTACTGTTTCGTTATATAAATTAGATATATCTTATATCTTACTTAATGTATAGATTATAGATAGTATTTTTATGTGTATTTATTAAGACGTGTTATGGATATCTGGGTAAAACCTTCATAAGTTAAAAAAAAATATTCCGCTTTTATTTGTTTTAAAGAGTTTCTTAGTACTCATTTGAAAAAATATATTTTTATTTCATGAAAACTGTACCTATATATTATTACATTAAGTAATATAAAACTGTACAAAATCGATAATATAATTTTCTACTAGTACTATACCTAAAACTAGCACAACAAAATCTCTATAATCTACGTCTTTGTATTATTGTCATTCATATACAAGTAAATAAAAATACATTTTCTATTTCACTTCAGTTCAGTACCAAACATTCCCCTAAAATAATTAATTATGGTTAAATAATTTCCCTTTAGAATGACGTAAATAAAATACAGGTGCTTTTTACATTTACTGCAGAATTGGCCGGCCCTAATTCCTCCAGGGAGTTTGATAATTTTTTCATTACATAAACAAAACAAACTTAATTAATCTAAAAGACAGCAAGTAAACAATTGGCTTGTTTCCTATCGTTATATTTCATTATATACAAATTACCTGTGTCAGTTTCGCATCAGTCTATAAAAGACCATAATGCCAAGAACGATGACCACGTACAGAGTGCTGTAAATATGTATATGTTAGGTAACAATTTACCATCAAGTGGTCTGTCAGCTTCTTTGTCATTCTAATAACTTTAAAAAATTAAATATAAGCTCAGTATACTGTAATTTCACAGTCGCTGTATTTTAGAAAATAATCTTCTTATATGCAGTTTAAATTTAACGACGTGTGTTTCAGCATGACGGTATCTTTAGCAGCCGAGCGCATCCGTCCGAATAGAAAGCGTGCAGTATATGCACTCATATACGTTCTATATGTATTCATATCTTTCACTAGTTGGCTGCATGCACTAGAACAATTATATTAATGTCCGTAGAATGCGTACGCAGCCGACTGCTACATTCCGCAATTAATGCCTTTTCTAATTGTAATTTACAAAATCTCACTTTTGTTTCATATTTAACCAGTAGGCCACCCCTAGTGAGTTTGAGGTGGGTATATGGAGATATATGTATATACAAACTGACTAACCGGGTACTTATATCTTTGTGAATAATTTAAAATAATATAAATCTCACGTCGCCTTCGAATAAGGTAATTAATTTACAAACAGTTACTGAATTTATCAAGTCAGTGCAGTAAATATGGAGTTTACTTTTTCTTAAAAAATCTACTCCTTGTAGGCTAATCCTACAAGGAATAGATTTTATTATATATAAAAAAATGTATAATTATCTATTTCAATATATACATCACATATTCCAATACATATATTAACGCTTCAATTAATTGATTATTATGAATGATATTTTTTCCTTCGTCGTCCATATGTTCCTCAATTATATCCGTTTTCTTAATGTTGCCTCGGAAAAATTGCTTTTGGAAATAAAGGCACTTTATTATATATATATGCTTTTATTTTGCATTATACAGTAAACTGTATAAATTTGAATTTATTCTACAATGCAAATAAAAGCATCTATCTAGCTATCTAGTATAAAACGCAGTATTTATTTGCTACGTGTAGTAGTTGGTAGTTCAGAAGATAGTTTAAAGAAAAAGACGCTGTCATCATTCGCAGATTTATTAAATTTTAAATAGTATTTTTTTATAATATATTTCGTGTCAACATCTGTTCTAAAACAATGGTCTTTGTCGGAAATAACTGTCCGCATTTTGGTGCTGAACTCTGAAATTGCAGCTATAAAAAATAACGACACTGGTTATCCGTTTTTATGTCTCGTTACTCCAATTAGTTCTTACTTAAGCTACTCGTATATAAAACTAGAGCTGTAGTAAACCGTTTCATTATAAAACGGTTTATGTGTTAAATTTGTATAATTAGCTCCGACTGTAACAAGTGCATGTTTTTATTTTTCTAATAATTAACTACACCATTAAAAAAGTAAAATTTGTGTTACTATAACCGCAAAACTGTACTTAATAGGACGATATCTTGAGTAAAAATTATTGTTTCGTTTTTCCTACTACAAATAAATATGTTATTTTTAAAATAAAAAAATAATATAAAATTGCTTATATCGCAGTATTCTTAACAGCTAAATACGGCAAGTCCACTTTCCAACTATTGTTTAATTGTTTAGTGTTATATAAATGGTTGTAGACATTTACTTTCATATTGACATCAGTTCATTTCCTACTTCTGTCTTCTGTCTGTCTATAGACATATATATAGGCATATATTCTGAACTATAAGAAATGGGAAATTAGGAAACAAATTGAGGTTAAAACCCAAAATGTAGAACTAAATTTGTCCCATATAAATTTCTATATAATTAAAAAACTCATTCATGTCTAAATTTTCTGTAGATTAAAGTATCTACTATACAAATAAAACACCTCAAATGTCCAAACTGTTGTTGCTAAACGTATTTTATGACTATATACGAGTTTATTAAACTATTCCAATTCTCAACGGCGACACAAAAGTGACCTCTTTTAGTAATAGAATTTAACATTCTGATTTTCATAATTTCCGAAAACTAATTGTGTTTGGCAATTTGGAGATTATCTCTATAATAACTATTGTAGCTTTGTATCATTAAATTTTTATTGTAATAAATTGAATTAATAATTTCGAATATCAAATGACCTTCCACGTTATGAATACATATGATAAAATGACAATAAAAATGTATCATAATTTAATAATTATTTAAAAAATATAAGCAATAATATCTGTTAATACGTACGTAAGTAGGTAAACTTACGTATAATATTATATATTATAGAATAAGAAAATATATATTACAATTTATACATTAGGAATTCGGGGTCCTATAAATTTGTCTCAAAACTACGTAATGTGAACATTGTAAAATAAGAGTATTATTTCTTGTTACAGAGAGGAAAACTGTCCTGTATCCGTACAGAGTCTGATTCAGGTTCGGACAAGCTGTCATTAAGACAAAGCGCTTCGAAGCAAACCTCCAAGAATTCTAACCAACAAAGCGACTGTTCATCGCAGGCAGATCACAAATGCCCTTGTTGTTTTAAAGCGGAAAAGAAAAGACTAAAACAGGCGAAAGGAAAAGATAAAGAATCTAGATTCTACAATGAGGTTACCTTTAAAGCTAATTATAAATATAAGAATACTGCAAGGAATAGAACTCATTCTGTCAGAGATCACGTAGAAAATAACAGGGTGTCGTCACTACGTCGAGAGACGAAAACGGCGCAAACTTTGAGCTTAGTTGTCGGCGGTTTCGTCGCGTGCTGGTTACCGTTCTTCCTCTACTACTTAATAACACCATTCATACCTTCAAGTTATGTTAATCCAGTATTAATGTACATACTGACGTGGTTAGGTTGGTTTAATTCAGCGATTAATCCATTCATCTATGCTTTCTATTCGCCGGAATTTAGATTGGCGTTTTGGCGACTAACTATAAAGAAATGTAAGCGAAGTAAACGGTAATTTCATTTTGGACTTGAAATAATGTATTATATAAATAAAAATATAGGAAATCTTACCAAATGTAAATCATACACTTGATTTAATCTATACGTAGGTATTCTGCTATGTAATATCTCCTTTTCTGATTTAAGATTTAAGTGTGATACAATATTATCTTGTATAATTAACTAACGTTTACGTCCAACATTTATAAAAGACATCATTGTACCTATTTAAATATTAAACTTCGAATGACTTATATTCGCAATTAGTGCCATAATGGATACGTTATACCATTTTGCCCATTTGCATGTAGAACCATATACAGCAGAGAGGTACTCCAAAATGGGTTCCGATATTAAGATTTCATCATAAATTTCATGCGGATGAAGTCTCGGATAATAGATAATGAAAATACATTGCACGTTATCTCATATGAAACGTGTTAATATTAACAGGACACAATTTTAACCATATTGAAGTAATTTAAATGTCAACTCTATCTTTATATGAAAATATATAAAGATTTTTTTAGAATCCTAGGGAACGGATACGTATAAATCACAACACATATTCTAATTTTGACATTAAAATTAATTAGTTTTTTCTATAACTTCATGATTTATTACATTCAACGGAACATAAATGTTGTTTTTATTTTGTCTTTTGTTTTACGCTGGCGTGATACTGTGACTAATAAATCATTACTTGACATAAAACAATGTTTTTGATATTATGTTTTTTTTTTATTATTTTAACGGCATGTACGTATATCTACATTTTAATAATTATTATTCTCCTTTTCTTGGCTGGTTTTTGGATAAAATAACATTTTTCCTATTTCTGTTCTATTTCTAAGTGAAATGTTGTTATCAGATAACATTTTATGATTTATGTTAGTACATTTCCTATAGATAAGCTCAAAAGCATATCTTAGAAAAATATTAATTTGCAACATTGAATGAAATGGACACAAATCCATTGTGCTCACCTTTTTTTTCTTTTATTCTTTATACACTAAAGTCTATTTTGGTGTGTGCGACATTGATAAATGGTGTGTTCCAAATGACTGGGCGGGAAACAATATTTTTTGTCAGAGAATTAATTTATACAGACTTTTATAGCAGTTTTATTGTACTACTTTTAGGTATGTTGATAGACTATTGTGGAGCTATAATTTTGGTAATAAACACCTAAATTGCTTTATATACCACTGAAATAGCAATGAAAGATAAGAGCAGGAATGGTAACCGTACAAGAATTCTCATGCAATTATGAAATTTATCGTCTGAGACAAGTGTTTACGAAACTTTAAGCTACGAATAAACTATAAAATACAATAAGGTACAAAATTACAGAGCCAATATATAAACTTTTTAAGTTTTTGGTATGAGTGTCAATGTTTTAAGCTTAGCGAGTTTAGCAACATAGCATAGTGTACACGGCCTACCTAATGCTAATCTATAAATAGAAAATATTAATTCTGTAAATATTATGTATAATCAATAAAAAACTTTTTTTAATTATTAAAGATGTAAAAATTGAAAGTAAAATCAAATTCCATATTATGCGAAGTATACTAGAATCCAACGAAATCTCTTGAATTAATTTATTGGCTGGTTTTTAATCAAAAATTGAGAAATAAATTTTTTACTGTTAGATAAATTTCAACTAATGGCCTTTTGATCCTAAATCAGAAATAGAGGGCGGAAGACATTTCTTTAAAATTTTGCCTATACATATATATGACTATATGTGAAACCGCAAACGTAGCTAGTAGATAATAAATTGTCGGGATATACATACATATTCCGTGATATATACCTTAAAAAGCCGTCTGCGTGGGAATCGGGGTCTCACGTATTTTAGCCATCAAGCAGCTTGCTTTTAAGGAGCTTGGTTCAAGGTCGAAATAAGGCAGTGAAACTACTGGATTAGACGCATTAGCTTAGTCAGTCTGGAATGATCATGCTTAAGCAGTATCGTAGGCGTCACATCATAACCTGATATCTGTAGTGCTGTTTATATACACAGGCGACGGTTACCACTAAATATCAATGTCGGCTTGTTTACCATTTCAATTACATAAAAAAAAATTAACCGCCATAATAAAGTCTTTGACTCCTTCATTCCCCTTTTTATAGGATATTGGTTTATGTAACGAGCCACAAGATAATAACCCCGGCTGTTAGATTTATTTACGAGGGATTCGGTAGTACAATAAAATTGATTGGCATAGTTTGAATCCATTTTGATGTAAATTATTTAGTCCAAGGAAGTTTTGCTTTTACAGAATCTAGGACAAGTCCTTATAAAGTAGAAGTTTACTATTAATTTAAATGTGATCATTACGAAATGTATAGTAATGTTATATATACGAAAGTATGTCTATATATCCAGTTTTTTGCCTTTTAGTGGCCTCGGTGGTCTAGCGGTTTAGCACACCTCTTTATTTCCGAAGGTAGCGGGTTCGTTTCCACGCACTGTATAAACATTTGTATTCATGAGTATGGTTGTTTGTATCGCTCAAACTTAACTACTCACTAGGAGTGTAAAAAACTAACCACTGCAAATCATATTGTGATTTATATTGGTTAGTTTTTTACACTCCATCGTCATAATTTGGAAGGACAGGTAAGAATTAGCCACCTAACCCTTTTTTACATTTATTACCCGTAATCAAATTAATATATAAGATTTTAGAATAAATTTTAAAATTAAATTAATTTATATTAATATGTATCAGTTTCATGGACTGAATTGATCGACTCCCAATACACGGGATTTCAGGCTTTCAGTAGCTATAACTTGTATAATAGTGTATCATTTTAAATGTATGTGTAAATATACTTTTCCTGCTGAATATTTTTTTTAAATATCTAGTCATTGTAATATAGAGATAGATATAAGACTTACAAAGTATTTTTATTAGTTATTACGCTATTGTAAAAGTATACGTACAGAGATCAATTAGGATTACAATTTTTGTGATAAATATGAAAATAAATATTCTATAAATTAAATATGTTTAATGTTATTTCGCTTACTGACTCCTATTAAATTACAGATCGAAGTGTACTTGTCTACTAAAAGAACAACCAAAAAATATATATTTGGTATATAAATCAAGTATCAATTGAGACAAATTTACATTAATTATATAATGTGTTGTTTTTGTACATAACTTTTAGATTTTTAAATATGCACAAAGAATTATTTACATTAGTTCAATTGTAGGTAAAATAAAGATTTTTTATTATTCTCAAAGCACTGGCAGCTGAACAATATACCCTTACAAATATTATTTGTATGAAAGTGTATTTTGTTACCTCTTTGTTCTCGGCAAAATGTGGAATTTAATTGACACGTACTAATTAGAACAGAGAACCACGGATTTTTTTGATTCCGGTCACGCGAGCGTTATCGTCAGGAAATAGTCAATAAATGTACTACGATAAGGTGATTTGATTTGTGCTATACTTCATATTGATTAGGGTTCGTAAAAAAATATATAGTATTATATTTACATTAGACAATACTTCTAAATGTATGAATATATATTTTACTAATATTGTATAGTTTATAGCATTTAGTATTGTTTATTATCTCCATTACCAGAGGTTAAATTAGTCTACAAACATATTTCACCTATTTCTGCAGCCAAGCAGCTAGCGTTGTAAGCGGGAACCTTCGGTTGGGGTTTAAGATATAGTAGTGAAATAATAGGGTACGGAAACATAACATGTTAGTTCTCTGGAAAGTAAAACGCATGTAGTGTCCTAGAGTTACTTTGGGCATCAAATGATGATGATATATCCGTGTTTCTGTTCAGTGTATAGATGACAATTACCACTTACCATCAGGATGACCGTCAGATTATTTGAAATTTCTGTTACATAAAAAAAATGTTGCGGCCAATCTTAACAAAGCTCGTTTTTTTATTATTCTCGCATTTGTTTGAGGTAAAATGTAATAATACATTTGAGAAAAGAGAAGATGAGAAATTGATGACTCAATTGGAGAACAAACATCGCTAACAATTAGTGTAGGTATCGTGGAATGTGTATAAGAAATTAAGCCTATATTTTTCGTAACAGATTGTTCGATATATTTTTGGGCAGCAGTTTATCCTTTTTCTATTTCATCGCTACAAGAAAATTGGTTTGTGAGCAGATTAAGCCGATAAAATCATTTATATATCCCACGAAATTGCGTGAAAAATTGTGGGCTCTGTTCAATACTGCGATAATGTATGGTTATTAAAATAAATATGAAAAATGGGTATGTTTTGTGTTCTACTAATAATAACCAAATAAGTAACAAGTTTCATTAGGAAAATCCTTTCCTCCAGGTTCTACAGGTTCAGCAGGTTCTACAGGTTCTCCACGCCGACTGCTCTGGAAACCACCACAGTTAAAGCCTGATAAGTTGACTATGATGGGCTAACTAACCTGACTTCATGCTCACCCTATCTTCTTCCTCTGGTAGACCAGCGTACTAAGCAGGTGGTCGGCAACCTTCCATAAACATAACATAAGATAAAAAAAGATAAAATAACATAACATTTGCAGGTACATAGATATAAATTAGAATAATAATACAATAGAAAAGAAAATAGGGATGCAGTCCGTGATGACACGCTTCGTAAGAATAAAACGTAAGTGTTGCCAAGCGCTGTCAGAAAATTCGGCAGAAAATAACACAAGTACACAGATCTAAGGTCACTAGTGTTGAGGACACTATGTCTATACTCATACACATTTATAGATAGATTGATAACAAAGTAATCGTATACACTTTCGCATAAAATCCCTAAAGACTACAAGAATTTTCTAACCTGTCACTGACATTGTATCTAATGGAAAATAACTGTTTCAATAGCAAAAGTTTCCTCGCCAAAAGTTTTTGTCGGTACAGTTCTTCATTGCAGAACTGAAAGATTCTTAGCTCAAGTTTGGAGTACACTTTGAGCGGTTCCAGCAAGTCTTTAGTTGGAATAGTTACAAGAACCTTGAAAGTGT